GGTTTTACGTCTCATCCGAAGGACGGCGCCTGTTTTTACAGTGTAGTGTCCCCATCACTATACTGGGGCATTAGGACCCACATGGACCACAGGGTGAGCGCCCCCTGCTGGCCCCACTAACACCTCATCCAGCAGCAACCTTAGTTTTTCCCAGGAGGTCTCCCCCATCCAGGTACTGACCAGGCTCACACCTGCTGAGCTTCAGTGGGTTGCCAGTTGTGAGTTGCAGGGTGATATGGCTGCTGCTCGTGATGAGGTTTTGCAAGCAAACGACTGCTGTGGAACCTTGGACCCTCCTCAAATAACCAAACCCGAGCAGACAAACCTCTGGAACTGGCTTCCAAACTGGGGGAGCCAATCCTCTAATCCCCTCATGCAAATCTGGGGGGGATTCATTTTCTCCCCCTTTCTGCAGTGCCTTTACACCACCCCCTGGTGGCCTAACCCGGTTTTGACACTGCAGATCCGGCTGCGCTGGTCTGCTCCCTAAAGCCATACAGTACCTCCCCGCCATTCACGTAGTCCAGAACAAAGTAGAGCTTCTCGGCGGTCTGGAAGGAATAGTGCAGCCCCACCAGGAAAGGGTGTTTCAAGCTCTTCAGCAGCACGTTGCGCTCGGCCATGATGTTCTTTTGCTGGTAAGACAAAGAGCACGTTCTCATAGAAAGAAAGTGACCCAAGTGGAAGATTCTGCCAGCATTCGTCACCAACAAACCCTTTGTCACTAGATCTCATCCACAGCCTATTGAAGGGATTCAGGGTGGTGTTGATTCCATGAGACATGAATTTACAGCTTTCCTGTCAACAGCGTGTGTGCATTTTTCCAGCCATGTCAAGGAAGGTCTTGCAGATTTTAGAGGCAAAGGATCCACTGCATACAGGGCACAAACGCGAGCTGAACAGATTGGCAAGGAAGGTGGAAAACAGGACACGGGGTGTTCAAAATAAACAGGGTGGAAAAACAAAGTATTGTAAAAGTATGTAACAGAGGTAAATTATCATCTTCTCAAAACAAGTGTGAAGTTCTGTCCTTTGTACTCTGTTGGCCGGACAACTGCAAGCAAGACTGATTAGATTACGGGATATCATTTTCTGAAAACACTCCTTGGCATCTGAAACCAAGCAGGGAAACAGGTTGTTTCCGATAATGAAGGGACTTTTAACATAAGGTAGAACTAAACAGGCAGATTGAACTAGATTGACCGAAAGCAAGCCGCGTGGCAAGCATGATGTCCAACCTCTTTTTTCTTCAGTATGACTTTTTTCTGCAGAACTTTCACAGCATAAAACTTGTGGTCCGATTTCCGCTTGGCTAGCAGCACCTGAAAGACAGTGACGCCCACAGTGAAATATCTCCTAATCTCAATCAGATATCTCA